GACAGACTGACCACAGCGAGTGCCGGCGAAGATGCAGAGCACGTGGAACTGTGCTGCTGGGAAGGCAAACTGATCTGAGGCGTGTGGAAAACAACCTGCCGGTTTCTTACCACCTGAAACATATTTATCATAGGCTGCCCACTGGAGACATTAAAGCACACAAGAGTTTGCACTCAGAGTCGCCTCATTCATGAGAGCCCCAAACGGGAAACAACCCACGTGTCCATCGGCCGGTAATGGAATAAACTGTCTGTGGGCCATCCAGACAACGGAATGCTGCTTAGCAAGAAAAAGGAACAAAGTCCTGATACAAACAGCCAAAGAGATGAACTCAAAGTCATCCTGCCGAGTGAGACAAGCCAGATACGAAATACTGCACACGCTACGATGCTATAAAATTCGAGGGAAGGCAAATCTATAGTGACAGGAAAATCATGGCTGTCAGGCTCCAGGTGGGGGAAGGAGATTGCAAAGGGCCACGAGGGAACTTTCCACAGTGATGCAAACATTCTATATCATGATTATGGTGGCGCTTACACAACTGTGTGTGTCAAATCTCATGAAGCAAGTTGTGAATTTTACTGTACGCTAATCATCCCTCAATAACACAGATTTTACACGGTCATTCCTGGGGAATTCCCTGGTGGTCCTTGTTAGGACTCGGCGCTTTCACTGCCACGGGCGCGGGTTCCATCACTGGTTGGGGAACTAAGATCCCGCAAACTGAGGCGTGGCCTCAATAAATAAACAAAAACGAAAGTCAGGGGGCTTCCCTGGTGGCGCAGTGGTTAAGAATCCGCCTGCCAATGCAGGGGACACGGGTTCGCGCCCTGGTCGGGGAAGATCCCACAGGCCGTGGAGCAATGAAGTCCGTGCACCACAACTACTGAGCCTGCGCTCTAGAGCCCGCGAGCCACAACTACTGAAGCCTGCGCGCCTGGAGCCCGTGCTCCACAACAAGAGAAGCCACCGCAATGAGAAGCCCGAGCACTGCAACGAACAGTAGCCCCTGCTCGCCACAACTAGAGAAAGCCCGTGCGCAGCAATGAAGACCCAACACAGCCAAAAATTAATTAATTAATTAATTTTAAGAAAAGTCATTCAGGACAAGGAGAGACGTCACAGTCTGCAGAGCCCTAATCCATCGAGTACCACTCTTGTGCCTCCCCCAGCATGCAAACAGGCCTTGTCCCATTTTTAAAATTACTGTTCACTTTAATTCAGACCTCAGGTGAGTCGCCACGCTGTCTTTCTGTCGTCTTTGGTCCACTTGACTCCCAGTACACACTCGCACGCAGGCACACACGCGTGGTTTGATTCAATATATCTTTGCCCCGTTGGAGCTCTTTCACCTCCTAGGCCTCGCCTCCTCGCCCTGCTCTCCCCTGTCATTCCATTTCACTCGCTGTGAGCTCACTCAGTCCTCCCTCTGCCACCGTCTGCAAAGCCCACCCCACAGGTGGGATGCCCAGTTAGGGCACCTCTCTCCATCCTTGTGTGCAGGGAAAGTTGCCTGCCGCATCGGTAAGCCCCACGCTGTGCACGCTGAGGGGATTCAGGATGGAGAAAACAGGATGCTGGCCCCAGACGGCTGAGGCACAGAGCAAAGGAATGATCTCAATGAGCATCAGACCCTTGCCTCTTCCCATACCTGGAAGAGTGCTGGATTCAGTCACTTGAAATGCCCAGTTTTCTTTAACTGACAGTAATCTTTTGATGTTCTCACTACCCTGGCTCCCCCCTTACCTCCTCAGAGCTGTCCCTCAGAGCTCTCTGAGAGGCTGTCCCCCGGACTGGAATCCTCAGGAAGTCCACCGAATAATACATAATCCTCAAGTTTTCGGGTGTGCATTTTTTTCTTTTTCTTTTTTTATATTTATTTTATTTATTTATTTGGCTGCATTGGGTCTTAGTTGTGGCAGGCGGGATCTTTGTTGCGGCACGCAGGCTCCAGAGCATGCGAGCTCAGCAGTTGTGGCTCGTGGGCTCAGTAGTTGTGGCTCACGGGCTCCAGAGCACAGGCTCAGTAGTTGTGGTGCACGGGCTTAGTTGCTCCACGGCATGTGGGATCTTCCCGGACCAGGGCTCGAACCCGTGTCCCCTGCGTTGGAAGGCGGATTCTTAACCACTGGACCACCGGGGAAGTCCCTCAGGTGTGCATTTTTTTCCAGTTGACACCAGGCATGGCCTTCCAGCGGCTTTGCTCGCGTCCTTCCTTCCCGTAGGGCACCTGTCTCCCCTCCCAACCTCGGGAACCTCTGCTCTCCTGGTTTTCTCCTGGCTTTTTCGTCACTCTTTCTTCGTGTCCCTGGCTGGCTCCTCTTTCTCTTTCATCCCTGAAATAGCCTTCAAGTGTCCCCTCCAAGGCCTGTGCCTTCCCCCTCCACCCCCCAGACACACACCCCTGGGGGGTAGGGCCGCTTCACCTGTTGAGCAAATGGTCCTGGTTCCTGAGAGCCAGTGGTAGAGCAAGACAGACAGATCCAGGTCCCACAGTTCTGACCCACTGCCCTGGCGCCGGGCACCTGGGATGGTCAGTGCCCCCACCCCCTCTGCTCAGACACTGGGCTGGGGGAGCTCGGGGCCCACTCCTCGGCCACACACAGAACCTTTCTGCAAAGGCAGTCCTACAGGGAGACGGTACTGGGCAGGGCAGAGGGGGCTGCGCCGGGGGAGGGGGGGAGGGTGTCTGTTCACTTCTGCCCGGGGCCTGAGGCCACCTGAGGCCAACTGGCTGCTCCATGGCCAAGTCCTCCTTGGTGGCTGGGGCTGGGGTGGCCTGGGGTGTCTCCATCTGACCAGCTCTTTGCCGCCCGCAGCGGGACTCGGCCCAGCCTCTCAGCTGGCGCAGCGCCGGCAGGTGCACCAGGGGCTCCTGAGTCGGGCTGTCAGCCAGGTAGCCAGACTCTCCGGGCACACCGGCTGGCCTCAGGGGCTCTTCGTTCCTCCCAGAGGTCCCAGCACTTGTTTCCCTTTACATCCAGGCCTTGGTGTGGACACAAAGCCCTCCCGTTCCTTCTTGGAGCCGAGAGAAAGTCGCAGCGAAGGGCCTTCCCCCAGACTTTTCCCTGGACTCGACAGTGGGAAATAAGGAGCACAGGGCGCAGAGGTGTCCCCAAGCCCTGCGCCAGCTCTCTGCCGGGATACAGCTTGCATGACCTCGTTTGGGGCTGGGCAGAGAACCCCATAAGGAGGTGATGGCCCGTTTACCCCAGAAGGCTGGCACTGCTTCCAGAGCTGCCCGAGACGCAGTGAGCAAAAAAAGGCACTTCCACACCTGCCGGCTTAAGTCTCTGCCCATCCTATCGCCATGGCTCAACTTTCAATTGTTGGATTCCCATTTTACAGAGGGGGAAGCTGAGTCACAGAGAGCTGGCCACAGCCTGTCCAAGGTCCCACAGTGGAGGAGAGGCCAAGTGGGGACATGCGCTCCTCTGCAGGCGCCTCAGTTCCCCAGGGCAGACGAGGAAGGTGTCATCTCACCGGCGAGTCTGGGAGGGTCTTGGGGACCGGGCAGCGGGAGGCACATGGGGAAGGGGGCACAAGGAAACAAGTGCCCGGGAACGCCATTTTCTACCCTTTTCGTTGATCTGGATGGCAGCGGAAAAGTCCTTTCTATGCTCCTGGGTTAGTCATGGTTGTGTGGTTACAGGGAGAGTGAGGATGTTCTGGTTCCTAGCAGGTGTGGCTGATGTGTTCAGATGTGGGGTGCTGGTATTCTACAACCGACTTCCAAATGGTTTAGCAAAAACCATTACAAATACGCACACATACCGTGGGGGTGTGGTGTGGAGCGTGTGTGTGTGTGCGTGTGCGTGTGCGTGTGTGTGTGTGTGTACTGCGCGCCGTGTGAGTACTGGGCGTGAAGCGCATGTGGTGCAGTGTGTGTGCGTGTGCGCTGTGTGGGTGTGGGGTGTAGGGGGGCTGGGTGGGCCCCCACCCTGATGACCCCTACTGGCGCCGCCAGACTCTGGCCGCGAAGAGGACGCCTGGCCTTGGCTGTACTTGAGCCCCTGGTCTGTGAGGGGCTGCTTTGGTCCCTAGCCTCGCAGGTCAACAGAGAGGAGGGACAAACAGGAAGAAAGGGCCAATCTCAGCCTGGAGCCGGGCTCTGGGCCGCATGCAGGCCACTGCCTTGGGCTGGGCTGGGCCGGCCTGGGCTGAGGGAGGCCAGGGCCGGTGGCAGGAGCTGGGGTGGGGGTGGGGAGAGCCTGGGATGGGGAAAAGGATGGGCTGGAGAGGAGAGGAGGGAGGGAGGGCACAGGAGCACGCGCGGCGTATGTGGGGGGAGGGGAGAGAGGAGCTGGAATATGCGTCAGTGCAGAAGCTCTGAGCCCCCTTCTCCTAGGACAGGTGTGGGAGGAGGAAAAGCGTGGAGGTGTCCCGGGCTCCCACAGTCTGGGGAGGAAGCTGGATCTCTCGGGGACACCTTCAGCCCCAGCTTGACCCCGCCCCCCCTCTTCCCGTCCCTCATCTCCTGCGGCCTAATTGAGGAGCGGGTGGGGCCTTCGCAGGCTGGGGAGAAGCCCTCCTTCTGCCTAGTGGGGACCTCGGGAGAGCCTCGCCCAGGCCCGGAGAGGGGCAGAAGGAGCCTGGCTTGGGAAAGGGGGGGGGGGGTCAAGCTTCGCCACGAGAAAGCTGTGTGACGCTGAGCCGGGCCCACCCATCTCCGGTCGCAGTTTCCCCACTTATAGACACGCTGAACTAAGTCATCGCCCAGAGCTCCGCAGCCCCACGAGTTAATAAAGGGGGCCCTGCGGAAGTGGGGGCAGGCGCGGGTGGTGGCAGATAGCCGGCTGCAGCTAAGCCAAGCTCTGGAGGGCTCGGCTCCCCCTTGGCGGGGAGAACGGAGTCCTGGGATGGCTGTCGCCAGGAAGGGAAGCAGAGGCGGCCAGGAGCCTACTTCCCCGTGCCAGAGGCGGGAGGCTCATGGGGGGAGGGGGAGGAAGTCCCCTCCTGAGCAGGTCACTCCCAGAGGCCTGGTTGGGGCGGGGCAGGCGATGGAGCGCCGATCTGAGCTCCTGGGCCACCTTTGTGCCCGCTGCCGCCCAGCTGCCCAGGAGCCCGGGAGCCCGGCCAGGTAAGGGGCTACACGGGGGCATACCAGCCCTCCCACCGTGTCCCCAGCCCTCCGATGGCCACCTCTCTTGGCCTCTGTCAGGGCGGGGGGGGGGTCTATCTGTCTGCCTCGCTTCTTGTGGGCCGCCTAGGTAGGTCATAGGCTTGGTTCGTCCATCTGTCTGACTGTCCCTCTCTCCAGCTTCCCCTGCCTAGTCCTGGGAGGAGTGTAGCAGGGCTCCGAGGTCGATGTCTCTCAGGGGCCAGACCTCACCAACCCTGGTTAGGCTAAGGATGTACCCCCAGTGCCCGATCACTGGAACACACACACTCACGCATGCGCGCGCGCACACACACACATGCACGCGCACGCACACACCCCCACCCCACCACCCCGGCAGCTCTCTAAGGACCCCTATCCGGAGACTCTGGGCAGCCAGGCTGGCCCCTCTGGTGGGAGGCTGAGCTCGCCACCCCGTCTCCTCCAGGCGCTCAGGACTCCTGCCCGCCCCACCATGGTCATGGCGTCCACCACGTCGGGTAAGGTCCCAGCCACTGTCCCTACCCATCCCCCCACCCTTTCCTCCACTGGGATGAGCCAGGTGGGCCGGGCGGGGTTGGATGAAGCCAAGAAGCCCCTTTCAGAGACCTCCTTCACCCACTTCTCCGGGCTGCTGGTGCGGGGAGGGGAGCGCATGGCCCTATGTATTCGCTTGGGCTGGGGCTGCCCTTCCCTCCCCACCACATGCGGATCCAGGAAGTGGGAGGCTGGAGGGAAGCAGAAGGCCACCAGCTCTGCCTGACCAGTGGGAAGCTCCCTGGGCTCGGTTCCCCTGCAGAGCACACTCCCTAACTCGGGCCTCTCCCCCCACCGCTGCCCAGCTGTGCCCCGGCCCCTCTCCCAACCTACGCCGCCCGGCAACGGCAGCGAGGAGGAGCCGCTGGACGCCCGGGACCCGCTGCTAGCCCAGGCGGAGCTGGCCCTGCTCTCCACAGTCTTCGTGGCTGTGGCCCTGAGCAACGGCTTGGTGCTGGGTGCCCTAGTGCGGCGGGGCCGGCGGGGCCGCTGGGCGCCCATGCACGTCTTCATCGGCCACTTGTGCCTGGCCGACCTGGCCGTGGCTCTGTTCCAAGTGCTGCCCCAGCTGGCCTGGGACGCCACCGACCGCTTCCGTGGGCCCGATGCCCTGTGCCGGGCTGTCAAGTACCTGCAGATGGTGGGCATGTATGCCTCCTCCTACATGATCCTGGCCATGACGCTGGACCGCCACCGCGCCATCTGCCGCCCCATGCTGGCACACCGCCATGGAGGCGGAGCTCGCTGGAACCGGCCGGTGCTGGTGGCCTGGGCCTTCTCGCTTCTCCTCAGCCTGCCCCAGCTCTTCATCTTCGCCCAGCGTGACGTGGGAGACGGCAGCGGTGTCCTCGACTGCTGGGCCCGCTTTGCTGAGCCCTGGGGCCTCCGCGCCTACGTCACCTGGATCGCCCTGATGGTGTTCGTGGCACCTGCCCTGGGCATTGCCGCCTGCCAGGTGCTCATCTTTCGGGAGATTCACGCCAGCCTGGCGCCGGGGCCTGCAGAGAGGGCCGGGGGGCGCCGCGGAGGGCGCCGGACGGGCAGTCCCAGCGAGGGAGCCCGGGTGTCGGCGGCCATGGCCAAGACCGTGAGGATGACGCTGGTGATCGTGATAGTGTACGTGCTGTGCTGGGCGCCCTTCTTCCTCGTGCAGCTGTGGGCAGCGTGGGACCCGGAGGCACCTCGGGAAGGTGTGTGGCGTGGCTCGAGCCGTGGGGGCCGCTCAGGCTTGGCTGCCCCTCCCCTCCCCAGCCGTGGGCTCCCGAGCGGACGCGGGCTGATGTGCACTGCTAGCCGCTGGGTGGCACGTGGGTCGCGGCCTTCCCTGGGCACCCTCATCCCCAGCCCAGACCCCTGCACCACACAGGGCCCCCCTTCGTGCTGCTCATGTTGCTGGCCAGCCTCAACAGCTGTACCAACCCCTGGATCTACGCTTCCTTCAGCCGCAGCGTCTCCTCCGAGCTGCGAAGCCTGCTCTGCTGCGCCTGGACGCGCGCCCCGCCCGGCCTGGGGCCCCACGAGGAGTCCTGTGCCACGGCCAGCTCCTTCCTGGCCAGGGACACCTCCTCCTGAGAAACGAGGGGCGCCTTCCTTCCAGAGGCTCCACGAAGCTCAGCCGCCTGCCCGGGGACAGGCTCCGCGATCGCGCGGGGGCCCGGCAGTCAGCTCCTTGGCGCCGCGTGTAGGGAGGGGCTGCGGCGGTGGGCTGCAGGGTCTGGGGCCGGCGCATGGCTTCCACCCCAACCAGTGCCTGCCCTGCCGGCTGACGGAGGTCCCGGGAGCGGGGGGTGGGGGATGGGGGCCCAGGAGGAAGAAAGGGGTGGGGCCGGGGGCCTTCCTTTCCCCGCCTCTCTAGTCCCCCTCTGCCCTCCCTTCTGACTCTCCCCGTCATAAAAGTTCCAGCTCATTTCCCACCTGGCGAGTCTCCTTGGATCAGGGTAACGGTGGGCGCGGGGGCAGCGCGGAAAGATTCTCAGAGCCCTCCCGCACCCAGACACGTGAGCGGCTCTAGAACCCGCCACGCAGGCCTTCAAAGGCAGCCCTGTGCCAAGGAACCCCCCGCAGAAGCTGTTCCCAACCTGCCATCTTTGGGGTGCCAGGAGGCTGGCCCTGTACCCACCTTCCCAGCCCCACCGAGACAGAGAACTGGCTCGCGTCGGGGAGTCAATGCACAGGCCTTTATGAATGGCCGCCAACACCAGGCTGGCACCCTTGGCTGAGCAAGGGCACCGGGCACCCGACAACCAGCGACAAGCCCTCACGGCCAGCTGCCCCCAGCCTCCCTCCTCGGCTGCCTCCCAGAGGGGCCTGAGCCAGGGCGGGGGAGGCAGGGGTGAGCTGGGGTGGCCTCGTCCTCCTCTCTGCAGACGGTCACGAGCAAGCATGCTGCACAGGACCAGGGAGAAGCAAAGGGCCTGGGGAGCCCGGCCGGTCTCCCCCGTGGCCGCCTGGGGCGGGGCGGGGCCTGCAGAGGAACCGGTAGCACCTCAGTGCGGCTTGAGGGGTGAGTCCAGGTCCTGGGGCTGGGAGGCCAAGAGTGAGGCTGGGGCCCCAGGGCCACGGGAGAAGCCTTTGTTCTTGCCGGGGCGGCCGCAGGCCACGGTCTTCAGGCTGCGGGGCCCAGGGCCAGGGGAGATGGTGGACGCCGGCCCGAGGCCCTGACGGACGGCGGTCTTCCCCAAGAGCTCCTTAAACACAGAGTCCATGGTCTGCGCCACGGCCTGGCGGGGAGGAGAGGAAGGCAGGGCGTCGGTGCGAGCGGCCTCCACCTGGCCAGCCAGTCCCCCACCCCCAGGTCAGTGGCGCCAGCTGACCCAGGAGCGAGGCCCTCCTACCCTCCGCTGCCCAAACTCCTCCATCCCCTGAAACAAAGTCCTCGGCCACCGCCTGTCCCCAGGCCCCTCCCCTCCGTGGGCCCCGCAGCTGTCGCCCCTCCCTTGCCCGGTTTCGCTCCTGCCACTTTTGGTGTGGCGGTCACCGTCCCCTCCGGGGACAGCAATCCTCAGTCCAGCCCTGAAATGGGAGCCCCTCTGGCTGGGCCCCGGGTCCCCCTCCTCTTCCCACTCTCTCCCTGGCTGAGATCACAGCCTCCACACCCTGGCTTGGGGGCCACCAGCGTGCCCGGACCTCCAGGGCCAGTGGTCCCCTGCAGCCCAGGGAGGAGGGGCTGAAATGCCCCTGGAGAGACGTGCACATCCTACCCGCCCCCCACCCTGCACTGGGCTGGGACCCTGTGTGGAAATAGGGCCTTTGCAGATATAAGTTCAGGATCTGGAGATGGGGAGACGATCCTGGGTTATCTGGGCAGACCCCAGATGTAGTGATAAGTGCTCACACGGTTCCCGGGGCTCAGCCCGGCGGTGCCCACTGGGAGCCCACAGTGGGGTGCGCTGGGCCCAGAGGGGAGCCGGGTGTCCCCAGGCTGCACCCCTGGCCCCGGCCGCATCCGGCACCCGCTCTCTCCCCCTGCAAGAACTACGACCCCGCCTGGCTCCCCAGTCAGCCACCTCCCTCAGCCTCTTGTCCACCTGCCCCTTTCATCCTCCCTGGCTCGCCAAGCGCCTGCCATATCACCACCTTTCACCTAGTCTGGCTCTAGATGCCAGCCTTGAAGCCTGTCCCACTCACTGCGTCCCACTCAGGAACCGAACATGAAGCCCAAATGTGAGAGCCCCAGGTCCCCTTCCCTTCTACCCTGCCTCCAGGCCCGTCCCTCCCCACTGCACTCACACCCTTGCCGGCCTGCCCCTCCCTAGGCTGGGCTCCACCGGCTGGTCTGAGGTCAGGAAGGTCAGACTTGAACCTTGGGAGGGAAGAGTCCGGTTCATAAGGGGAAGCAGAGACCCATCCCTGAGAGGTGCCCCCCACTTGCCACACGGCCATTCCCAGCTCTCACCTTATCCACCTCCACATGTCGCTCCGGGGATGCTGGGACCAAGCAGCGCCGTCTGTGCCCAGAGGGGCCCCCGGGTGTGCCGAGAGGGGCCTCGGGTTGGGTGCACGGCTCTGGCCTGCAGGGCATAGACAGTGGGCCTGGCGGGGGCCCTGGGGAGGCTTCTCCCAGTCCAGGGTGTGGCCAAGGGAAAGGGAACAGTGAGGCCGGTCCCTCTCCACCTCCTCCAGCCTGGGGTGGGCGGGCAGGGCCCCCGGAAGCAGTCTTCCCCTTGCTCACCTCTGGACAAACTCCATGGCCGGGAGGGCCTCTGGGCTGCTCACCAGCTCCCCGGCGGCCGGCAGCCCCTGGCCCACAGCAAGCTTCTCTGCCCTGGCGCCAGAGAGACAAGACCGCCTGTTAGAACGCTCATTCTGGGCTTGGGGTCTGGGGGCCAGAGGGCTCAGCGCTGGCCAGAAGTGGTCAGAAAGGCGCACTCTGGGCCACCCCGGGCCTACGGAAGCGGGGACTCGGGGCGGGGGAAGGGCCAGAAGCCCGGGTGAAAGGAGAGCCTCCCAGGAAGGGCCCCAACTTCACTCACTCACCCCGCCGGCAACGTGATGTACTTATGGGGGATGAGTCCCCGGGCCCCGGCGTGCTCGCCCCGCCACCAGTCGCCTGAGGCCCGCTCGTGCAGCCGCAGCACGTCCCCCCGCTGGAAGGTCAGCTCCTGGGCCGTGCGGCCCGTGTAGGCAAAGCAGGCCACGGCCTCCACAACCCCCTCCGGGTCTAGGGAAAAGAGGGGACCCCAGTGTGGGGGAGGGGTGGAGTGGGCATCCAGGGCGGGGACAGGGTGGGGCACTCCTTCCCGCCCCCCTCACCGTCCTCCGGGGCCAGGCTCCCAGCCTCTGGCTCTGGCTCCGGCTCCGGCTCCGGCTCGTTCTCCCCGGCCGGGCCCTCCAGCTGGGCATCCCTGCAGTGCAGAGCAGAGCAAGGCGGATGAGCGCACGAGGGATCGCCCGTCTGCCGGACCTCCCTCCCGGCAGCACGAAGAGCCTACCCCAGGCAGCTGGCAGAAGGCGGCGCCATGCACTTCTCATAGACAGGGCCGGGCAGCTGGGCCAGGGGCGGGAAGACCCGCGAGGGCTGCACAATGACCGTCTGCACCAGCTGGTTCACCCGGCCCTGCAAGGCCACCGGGTCCTGCCCGGCGGGTACGGGCAGCAGCGTCGGCCCGAAGCACACGGCCAGGTTGTAGGCATCCATCATGTTCTCATCGCTGTACTGGGCCAGGCTGGGGGCACAGGTGGGTCACAGGCAGGGAGTTCTCGGCCCGGTGTCCCCTCACCCCCACTAGCAGCTGGCTAGAGCCACCCCTGAGCCGCCCTCGCCCCCCCTCCCCCCGCGCCGAGAGGTACTCACTGGTTGAGGAAGGCGAAGAGGTAGCGCAGGACCACGAGCACCGGTGCGGGCAGCCGGGCCAGGAGGCGGCTCACATGCTCCACCCACTCCGCCGCGGCCTCCGCTTCTGCGGCCGAGGCCAGTGCCCCGGAGAGAAGGCGTGAGCGCAGCCGTGGAGGCCAGCGGGGAGGGCCCCCCCCCCAGGGCCCGCCTCAGACCCCCGCCTCACCCGCAGAAGCCAGCAGCTCCCTGAACAGCTCCGGGGGGAATATCGGAGGCTGCAGGCTCCGGAAGTAGAGCTTCAGCACACCTGCCACCGAGTCCAGGTCATGGGCGGTGCAGCCCTCCACCAGTGGGTCCTCTCCTGAGGGCGACACGGTGGCGCAGGGGGCGAGAAGGCGGATGGCACTGGCTCTTCCACCCACCCCCATCCTCACCCCCGGCCCCGCCGGTCCCCACCTCTCTCAAAAGCGTCACGGATCTCCGAGACCCGGGGCTGGGCGCCCGACACCCGGAAGATGCCCTCGTGCTGCAGGCCTGCGGGAGGACGGAGAGCCGGTGGGCGCAGGATCGGGTGCCAGGCCAGCGGCAGGAGGGCCCAGGTCTTACTCACCGTTGAGGTTAATGAAGCGGATGCAGCTCTCCACCACCAGGGGCACGGACTGGCCCGAGCTCTGGGGACAGGGACAGAGAGGGTGTTCCCTCCACTGTGGACACAGCACGTCCTGCCTCACCACTCACTCGCTTTTATTTTCTCTTAATGCGTTATGCGGTCAGCAGTAAGGCCTGCGAGATGCATGCCCAGGTGTCCGACATCCCTGGTGCCGTCTCGGGCCACGCCTTACGTTTTACCTGCTAACTGTTTATTGCTGGCATGTGGAAATGCCATCGAACTCCGTATGTCGACCTCGAATCAAGTAACATCGTGAAACCCAAAATTTGTTCACTTAAATAATCTGTTGATTCTTTTGAACCGTGACATACAGAATCACATCCTGCAAATAACAGTGTGATTTCTTCTTTTCTGATCCTTCTTGCTTCCCTTACTTCCTCTCTCGTAACCCAGAAGTGGGGCCCGTGGACACTCTTGCTTCTGTTAACTCAACTCCTCAGCCCTAAATTCGCTGCCACCCGAGGCTTTCCGTTACTAGTTAGGGACGTGCCCTCTGACCAGTGCAGGCCCGACAAAGGCCCACCCAGGAGGAGACCGGTGGCCGGGGCGGAGGTTACTGGGTTCACAGGCAGCCCCCGGGGCTGGAGGGAGAGCAGAAGCGGGGAGGGGCCCGCACTTGGTTGGCGGGTGACACAAAGCAAGTACCTGGATAAACTTCTCCATGTCTCCCCCAAAGAGCTTCTGGTTATACTGGGAGCTGGGGCGGGGAAGGCGGCTCTTCTGGAGTTTTCTCTGTGTGTACTGGGTCCTGTCGTGAACAGGAGCTGGCTCTGAGGGGAGTGGGTGTGGAGACTAGGCTGCCCCGACACCCTGGCCCAGCCAAACAGCATGCTGGAGCTCGCGAGCTATTCCAGAACCCACTGGGCAAAGTGGGAAACAGGCCACCGCAGGACGAGCAACAGAGCCGGGTCCCAAAGAGAGGGGAGGTGGGGACCCCACAGCTCCTCGGGACAAGCTGGTCCTTCACGAAGGACTCACCGAGACACCTCCCGCTCTTCCTTGTCACCTGGGGAGGAGAAAACGTTGGTGTGTCTCTCGGGCTGGGAGGTTCCTCAACACCCCGCAGAGGGAGAGGGCACCTGAAGGCCCAGGGCGGTCACA